AAACTAACTCGTACTTACTCCAACTCGAATTATCGTAAACAGCCATTGTAACAAACAAAACACTTGTAATTCCTCACGACTTCTCAGAGCGTTCTAAGAACTAAGTCGCAAAGTATTCGCTACAATGCACTTCTAAGGAATACTTCAAAACGAACTAATTGTGGTTACTTCTTCACGAACTCTTTACATATTCATTTTTCAAATTCTCTATGTACTCTTTAAAATACATTCTTTAGGAACTTTTGTTCATCTCTGTGCTATCTGAGGTTTCGATGTTGCGATCAAGCTCTTACATGCCGCTAGCATTTATTCCTTACTCACACAGCACAGAAATTTCAAAAAGCTTTCAGAAAGATTTCAAGAAGATTTCAGAAAGGTTCAATGTTTCTGAAATCTTTCTGAAAGCTTTTTGAAACTTCTGTGCTATGTGGGTATTTCTCGGCAACCACGAAAGATATTGATGTTATTTAAAGAGCACTAGTTTTTCCACAGTTTATGCTACTGAAATTAATGTTTTATAATAATGCGATTAATATCGTTGCGTTTTGTAGAGCATGGAAGTGGGCGTGCTTTTCGCGGTCAGGTTCTCGCATATATACGTACATATGATATTTCGTACGCATATACACGTAAATAAATTTATGACAGTGCGTAAAGAGAAAAGATCATGTGCATGTTGAATGGAATATAAGTTCGTACGCAATGGTCCATGTTCTTAACCACGCAATTATGCGCTTAGCACGGACACGAATCGCCAGGAAATGGGCGTAGAATAGACACGCACCGAATCGCTGCTTTATCGGCATCGTCTGAAAATGGGCGTAGGGAACGTAGTTCCACCTGAAAAATGGGTGCAGATGGCGCATCGCACCAGCGTGAAAATCGGTGTCACCCAAAACATATGGCGTGGCCGCTCTCAAGCTTCTCTCTGGTGATAAAGGCTGCGTTCCGAAATTCACTGCCAGTACTAAAATTCTAAGCTGCGTTCGGAAATGTCACTCGAGTACTTTTCCTCTCTTTTTATTTCACTCTTGTATCTCGCTCACTCCAACGTAACGGGACACTTGGGTGACATTTCCGAACGCTGCCCTATAGTTACATAATATGAACTATAGTTTTTCAGTACTGACAGTAAATTTTGGAACGCAGCCAGAAAGAGATAGAAAAAAGTTTGGTTAGTTAGGTTATGGAAACACACGTATAACTTTGTTTATATTCAAGCCAGTATTCGAATATAAAGTAAAAGCTTTTTATTTAAAACAACAAAAAGCTAGTCTTTTAGGTAAGTTGAATAAGTGATTTAATTAAATGAATAAAACTCAAAAATGTCTAGCTTATCACAATGATAAAAACTAAGTAATTGTCAACTTTTTTTAGTTTATTCTGCATCTTATTTTGTTTGTAGACAATGCCATCGTGTTGCGTTAAAAATTGCAAGAGTCGTACATATCGTACTGACACAAAAGGTATAAAATTTTTTACATTCCCTAAAGAAAGAACCATCAGGCAGGAATGGCTAAAAGCTTGTCAAAGGAGTGAAGAAGAACTAAAAATTGAATCTGGTAAGATAAGTTTTACCATATATGTGAAAAGCAGTACTTCATCCATACAAATATGTATCTTTTGAGTTGTACAGAGTTTTGACATATTACTGTACAAGCGAACTGTAAACTACTTATATACTATAATTACAGCAGATGTTAAGAGTAATTGTGAAGGAAAACCCGACCTCATTAATTTTGCTAAAATTTGGTAAGATAGTGTATTTTGACATGTAGAAACCGAATCTGAAAGCCAAAATCGTCGCTCTTTATGGTGAAGCGAGATATTGATAAAGTTGATGACATTTAAGCTTAGGAAAACTGTCATACCGACGATAATAGCGACATGTATATGCTCCGTGGCTTTATGAGAGTCCAGGGGGCGAGTCCCCGGTCAGAGGGGGTTTGAGGGAGCTAAAAGCCCCCTCGGTTTGACAAAAATAACATTCTAAAAGAAAAGTAAAAATGCATCTCACATGGTATGTTAAGCGTATTTTGTTTTTGCGAGATGCATTTTTATTTTTTTTAGAATGTTATTTTTGTCAAACCGGAGGGGTTGAAAGCCCCCCCCCCCGAACCCTCCCTCCCGGGGAACCAGGTCCCCCTGACCTGAATTCCCTTGAGGCCTTGGGTCTTATACATGTCGCTATTTGTCGTCGTTCTACACAGCAAAACAAGATATTAATGATGAAAATTGTACATTATTTAAAGTTAGGAAACTTGTCAGAACTTAATACTTTGTTATATATTATAATCCAGATACAATCCAGAAAATAATTAAATTAAAATTTCAAATTGATGCATTTTAATATATAAAATAATAGTGAAATATAAATACATATTGTAAATGTCAAAATTTTTATATAAAAATTTGTTATTAAACTTCTGATACATATGTATGTACATCACAGAGTTTAGAAAACTCTGGTTTGTATACTTCCGCAATCGCTGAGAAGAAAGCGGATAGACGCTCTTCATATTTATGTATGTGTTTGAAGAGATATTCAGCTAAATATCCCACTCAATAATAAAATCGTGTTCCATATCATGTAATATTAGTTTTACAAACACGTTCAATGTGCTGAGTGTATGCTCCTAAATAAACAATAAATATAAAAATACGTATAGTTATGTTAACTGTAGTGTTGTGTATATGAATGCATATGTTTTGTAAATAAGAATTACAATTTTAAGTATATTAAGCCACAATCTTTTGCCTTACTAAATTAATGAGTCTAATATATACTAAAATAAAAGATTCTGAAAAGATTAGCAAAGATCCCTACGCAAGGTATGTTGCATCTATTTATCGCTAAAGTCTATGCGTTTTTATTGCAGACTTAATCCTAAACCTTGCCAAACTGTAGGAGTCTTTGCTACTCTTTTCAGAATCTTTTATTTTATATATATATATATATATATATA